ACTTTAGGGCTGTCCTTGGCAAGCAGCAGAGGGAGCTTGGCCAGCCCACCTTGAGGGAAAGCAGCTCTTCTCTGCTGCCTGTCATCGGCTTGCTCCTCCTGACTTCCCCTTCATTTATGAGGGCTTTTAAGGACAAGACCTATCTTGGGGCATTGAGTAGAGAGTTTCGTTCTCTATATCTAGTTTTTGTATACCTTTTTTATACCAACCATGTAAAATTTAGGCTTTGCAGAGCACAGAATGCTAAACTCTTTTGGCTACTGAATTTTGGCAGCCCACAGACTTTCATAGCTGATTTTCTAGCAACCCTATTGCCAAAACCAGCCAAATGCCTTGGCAGTGCAGGTTTTCTATGTCAGAAAAAAAAAAAAAAAAAACGTATTACAACACTCTGTATAGGTAATGGGTACAAATGATATTTTAAAAAACACTGGGCTAATTGCAGCTCAGTCTTTCATTGCTCATTGTTTATGTCAGCTCTGGGGAGACTTTATTCTGTTGCAAATAAGGGGTTTCTAACGATCATACCTGCAAGGCTGGTGATGATCATCTTCTGTAGTGCTTTGCAGAGAGCACTGGCAGCAGACCAGCAAAACCAGCCAAAAGCCTTGGCAGGGCAGGTTTTTTTTTTTCAAAAAAAAAAAAAAAAAAACGTATTACAACACTCTGTATAGGTAATGGGTACAAATGATATTTTAAAAAACACTGGGCTAATTGCAGCTCAGTCTTTCATTGCTCATTGTTTATGTCAGCTCTGGGGAGACTTTATTCTGTTGCAAATAAGGGGTTTCTAACGATCATACCTGCAAGGCTGGTGATGATCATCTTCTGTAGTGCTTTGCAGAGAGCACTGGCAGCAGACCAGGGGCTCCTCCCCAGGGGCCAGCCAGCTTCTTAGCACACAAAAGCCCCATAAAAATAGACCTCTCCCTCCCCACCACCTTTTTTTTTATAAAGCAGGTTGAGGGGCAAGGCTGTTAAAAGGAAAATAAAGCCAGCTTTATTTATTCTAGGATCTTTTCTTTTGTCAAAGGGCTCTAGAAATCAAATTACGTTGCCAGAGCTCAGCTCCCTCCGGCCAGCCTGGCAGGGACCACTGCTGGCCGTAGCTCGGGTTTGCTCCCATCTCTGTGCAGAGGCTGGAGTGCAGAGGTGCAGAGCTTTTTCCATAAACCCTTTTTAGAGAAGCATCATATGGAGTAAATGGGATTTTGTCTGTTTTTCCCGACCCCTCATCCTAATTAAATGGAAAAAAAAAACCTCCACACTTGAAATGCTCCCCAGAGCTATAGCCTGAAGTAGTGCTTAGGCATAGTTAGATGGACTCAGTGTGGTGATCAGGGACTCAAAATAGCCGTAATAACCAGGTCCTGTTTTGGACCAGCAGCAGTGTCGCAGCTATTTCAAGGCCCTGCTTCCTGCAGGTGCTGGTCAGCCCCTGCTGAGGCGAGTCTGCCCTGTGCCAGCTAGTTGTTTCTCTCTCTCTCTTTTAAAATTCATTTATCAGCAGCATTTAAAAAGAATAATGTCTACCTTTTGATCTAGGTGATATCCTAGCTGAAACCAGTGTGGATGCTTTTCTCCATTGAGCTACATCAGAGAAACGGGGTTACAAACACAGAAGGCACTAGTTAGGGAGACTTATTCTTTAATTCAGTGTCCAAATTCAGCTTCAACTAAGAATCCCATTAAAGGCAGAATATTTTATTACCTCTGTATAAATCCCAATACTTATATTTGGAACCTTAAAAGATTTTTCTGTATAGGCAGCCAAATAAATTTTCCAGGACTACAGAAAGTTGCAGGGAAGATTTAGTGCTTGCTCCTTCTAGGAAGAAGGTGGAAGAGAGAATTACTGGGAAGCAGCAAGAGAAAAGAGCCGTCCTGGCCTGACCGAATTGAGACCCTCGCTTTCCGAGTGGTAGAAAAATTGTAGAGGAACGCAACCAGGACGCTGCGCACAGCGTTATTTGTAATCTGTTCTCATATGTCATTAGGATATTTTCAATCTTGCTGCCTGGAGACATTTTAACAGCAGCTTACCCACCACCCACAAAATCCATTAGTTTAAACAATAAAAATGAGCCGTTTGGCCACACAGCAATGGCCCTAAAATTGCTTTGGTAAGCGCAGATATAATGAGGATGGAGACTTTGGAGCTGTGTGAGGATCATGACAGACCTAATGGAAAATACAACTGCTGTGAGCTGTCCTCCATAAGAGCAACACCAGGCCTCTGTTTGCTTTTCCTAGACCACCCTGTAGCTGGAGAACCAAATTTAGCAAGAGGCAGGTACTGAATGCAGAGCATGGCACATGTATGCATGTTTTTTAGGGTGGCTCTTCTGGCATGTGCCTGATAATGTCTGAAGCTTCACCTGACATCTGGTACTCATTAATCTGAGTGGGTCTGTGAAAACCAACCAAGAGCAGGACCACCAGCATCTTCAAGAGCCAGAAGGTGTGCAAGCGGCAGGGGAGGTTGGGGCTGGCCCTCATCCCTGCCCGGCACCGCTCCCCCTCGCAAGGGACCACCCTTACCAGCTCTGCTGATGGACCGCAGTGTAAGCACTCCCTAACCCCATTCTGTCAAAATGACTCAGGCCAGAAAACTTTTCCCGTTAAATGTATCAACTCAACAGCCAGGGATATTTTTATTTCATTTATTTCCACCCACCCCTAGGGTAATTTCCTTGAGGCTGGGGAGTGGAATTTTGTTTCCAGCCCATCTCTGCATGCAACCGCCCCGCTTGGTTTATTGCTGAAGTGGATGATGCCCAATCAATCCCACACTTGGAAGCGAGGTGCTTAGCTACTGTCCTCTGTCAGCTTTTCTATTTTATGAGCCTGTCAAAATGTTTTTATTCACTCCTAATATAATCTTTCCACAATAAGGAGCTCGAATGGCTAGAGATGGGCAGGAGGCTGCTGCCGTTACCTGGGACCCGTGATAAATTGCTAGGCAGCTGAAAGCCTGAAAGGGTTGCAGCAGCCACGGGGGTGTTCGTCTTTGAAGTTTCAGAAACTTTGTTCACCCTGTGCTTGATGTGCCTGTCACGGTGTGCAGTTACTGCCTTTCTTTCACGGGTGTGCCTGTGTGGAGGGAATCTTAAAAACTGATCACTTAATCAGTGCATAAAACTGAGTGATTAATTAACAGTTGGTCCATGAGCAGCAAGAGCAACACCAGTGCCTCACTGGACAAACAACCCCACATCACGAAGCTTGACTGTCTGGGAATTACTGTTCAAAGTAATTGCATTTTTCTATAACTGGGATTGCATGGGATTATGGTATTATAAATGGGATTTGCTCTAAAGGCCGGTGGCCCTCTATTTCTTACGGATTACTCCAGCTTCTCCTAAAAGGAATTTTGATAATGCTCCTTTAATGAGACTGCACTAAATTGAATTACATCCTGCCTTCCCCCGAAGCGGGATCTTTTTCTATGACACTGGACACGCACACAGAAAAGAGTCTTACGTATTCCTTTCTAGGGGGTATGCGTGACCTATATAACAAGACATACACAGGCACAAACCTAACCCTAAGTATTCATGAAAAAAAACATTTTTGGTTCTTCTGAAGCAATTTTGGGCCTGAAGGCCTCTGCTCACCACCACCATCATTCTGGCCTGAACAGTCCAGCTTTAAAACCAAAGATGGTAAATCCTCCGGGGACGTTCTGCAAACTCTTTATAAAACACTGGTACTCCAGGGCCTGCAAATAACACCAACCGTTTCCAGGGCTCTCATCCCCTGCGCTGAATTCCCTCGATATAGTGGGGATGGGAGAGCAGAGGGAATAAACACCTGGCCGGTGACAGGCAACGGGAAGCTCCGCAGTTTTTCCTGCTGCTGGTTCGGAGTAGCAGGTGTCTCTTCACCATCCTGCGGCCTGGCAGGTGCCTTGTGAAACCACCAGCCCCAGCTGTCCCCTCGCTGAATGAACATACCTCCTGGTCAGCCGGCCAGCACGGCTGTGTCCCAGGCCAGCAGGCAAACTGGCCGAACAGGTGAGGTTTTGTGGAAGGTCATGGATGGGGAGGAGGGATGAGTCAGCGCAACAGGGCTGGAAAACGTCGCCTTGTCTTTGTTGCGGTCTGGAGCGACTCACCCACTCACCTGAGCTGCGCAGCCCCGCTGCAGCCACGCTTCGTCTCGCAGACAAACGCCGCAGGCAATGCTGGAGACGAGGCTGCTGTGGCTAGCAGATAAAATGAGTTAACAAGAAGCCTTCCTTGGATATATATCTTGCTGTCTTTATTCTGCTCCTAGCTCTCCTTCCTCAGTCCTGCTTAATTTCATCTGTTTGCTACAGAGAAACAGCAATCAGCTTGCTTTTTCATGCAACGTGCACCTCCAGTTTTACTTCCTAACCCGGTTTTTAGCTCCATCAACCCACCTCCAAGCTCAACCTGAGGGGTCCTTGCTATGAGCTGGGTACAGAGGCCGCCTTGAAGATCACTGGGTCTGCTCACCCGCCCCTGTCTGGCCTCTCGGCAGGTCAGCCCTGTGGCGTGGGTCACTGCGCTCTCCCTGTGCTGCAGCCATGCCCCCGCAGGGGCAGGGGCTGAAGGAAGCTCTCAGCTGGGCTTCCAGCTAGCAATGGGCAGAAAGTGCTGGGCTGGCATTTACATATCACAGCTCACCAACAGCTTCGCTCCCCTTCTGCAGCTTTTGGGAAAAAAATTACCGGTGGTGCCATTTTACCCTTCCTGGGCACCTGCTGTCGTGCCGCCGTGCCGGGCTGGATGGTCTTGCAGCCTGGGAGGCTTCTCCTTGCATCACCGATGAGGCACGCTGCAGGGCATTCATCTCGCCAGGACGCCGACAGCACAACGTGCCGAGTCTCGGCAGCAGCCGTGGCGAGAGGCGAGCTGGCCGGGAGGTCGCTCCTGGGGACGGGTGGGGAGGCGGGAGGTTAGGCGTTCGCACCACGCTCCTCTGCACGAGTGAGGGTGGCTCGTCGGCGCAGAAACACACCACTACAACGGGGCTCCTCCAGGAATGTATTTATTTACATAAAACGCTATTATACAAACTGAAAGAAAGGAAAAGAAAAAGAAAGAGACGATGTCTTAGAGGGGCAGGTGTGCCAAAGTCGGCGCCCCTCGCTCCCACCCCATCTTTCTGCTGCCTTCCTTCTGCTCTGGTCCGACTGTGGGTGCCGTGATCCTTGTAGGAAAATCCCTTCCCAACCCTCTCTCAGTATGAACATCTGAGAACATGAACAACACGTTTTCCATTTAGAGTGGCTTTCAGAAATCTTTGTTTTCTGCCTCCAAAGAAAACTCTTGCCCAAACGTTTTTTTCTTAATTTATTTATGTAACACAGTGTAGAAAGCTGTCAATTCATAAGCAATGGTTCTGTACAATCATCCTGCAGAGGATCCCCGTTAATTTTCGACCAGCAGGCACTTTTCCCCCCCAGAAGTGCTCACAATTAACAGGGATTCTTTTTAATATTTTTTTAAGATCAAAAAGATACATGGAAAAGAAAATAAAGTTTACCTTTCAATGCCTAAAGTGTGCACATAAAACAGGCACAAAGAAACGAATGTGTATTCCCATGATTTCTACGTCACTAATACAGCAGGAGCAACAATCTGTACAATAAAATGCAGCTGCAGAGGAAAAGAATTTCAATAACTCATCTGGAATACTTTTTAAAAAATGTTGTTTTACTTTAAAATGCATAGTGATCAGAAAAAAATGCTCAGCAAAGAGAAGCAGCTAAACCCCACAGACACAGAAAGCATCCCCCATCAATTCTTAAAGCATATTTCAATTAGGACTTAATTTTTGTCACAAATCACAAGAATAATATACAACTGGCTAAGGAACTACATGATAAATAATTGGGAAAGAGAATCTATCCATGCACTAGTTAAATACAGCTAACCTCTTTACAGTACACAAAAAACATTCATTAATAATGTAGTGTAAAGACTGAAATGTAAAGAGAAAGAGAGAGAAAATACATTACTGATTTTATTAATTCAAGTTCAGGCATCTACTTGTGTTACAGCACAGCTGTCAAAAGGCGAGAATGAGTAAATAATAAAACAGAGTGTTTTTCTTTCTTTCCACATTATTCTATAACTGAACACCGATGGGCAGTGAAGCAATCATTCTGCTGTCCAACTCATGAGGCTGCTGTGGTGTCCTAGTTCTGCATCTGTTCAAAGAACTTGTAGGTGGGATTTTCATAGCCATTTTGCTGCATCTTGGAAAGGTGACGCTCCTCTGGTGTCACTGCAGCGTCCACCTGTCGTGAGAAGAAACAACCAGGGTCAGATTCTTGCTTAAATCACAGCATAGCCCACATTTCCCCACTTTATGGCCATCCCACGTACTTTGTACCTTCCCCTTGCGCATTCAGGTCAGAAAGCATCCTCTGAAACGCAAGACAGGGTTTAAAGCTGAGGACAGGTTTATTCCCCCCTAGGTGTTTTGTTTTTTTTTTTTAACATGCAAGGTGGAAAGTAAGTTAGGTCCCAAGCTCAGCCCAAATCTAATAAAAAAGTCTAAAAGAAAGGTGGCTGGGAAGTGATAGGGATACTTCTCCACTAAACAGAGTATTAAACCTAGGACCTGGAGGCTCTCACGTTGTCTGAAGAGACAACTGTCTCTGAAAACTCTTCTCTCTAAGTTATGCAGCACCATGAGTGGCCTCACAAAAACCATCAATAGACGGCACTGCACCCAGCCGTAAGCGAGAAGCCAGCAAACAGCTTTAAAAAGCAACTTGCAAGACATGGCCCTTCCAGCTTGAAGCGTGGTAGTTCACGTTTTGGCAAGAGTAATATGCAAAAGATACGGCAACAGGAACAATTCTGCAACTTATTTTTTTGCTGCAGGACTTCAAAACCAGCTGACCAAACTCAGCAGTACCAGCTTTGTTGTCTCGATCAGGAAGCATGCAACTCCACAAACAAAAAAAGGGGATATATTTTGCATCTCCCTGCTAGCCCCCTACTATTAGGTTTTTTCCCCCTAGGATATACATCGGTATCTGCACTTGGGATCAACTGGATCTCAAAACAAAAGAAAAAGGTCACTAAAAAGCTGAAGGAAGCACCTTGAGGCTGCCTTCTGTCTATATTGTGCTCTCAGATCTGCTGCAGATGCTGTGGTCTCAAGACCAAGCAAAATTAATTGGAAAAAATAAAATGAGGGTAGCAAGGAAATTCCAGAGTAGCCAGGCACAAGGTGGGCAAAAAATCCCATTGCACTCACAGAAAGAGAACTTCTGTGGCTCCAAGGTTGAGTTTGGCTCAGTTTAATGACAGAAAGCTTGAAGTGTCCGCACTGGTTTAAGTATTTCTACTTAACAAAAATTGACCTTTCTTGATTACTTGGAAGACAGGCTTAAAGACAGCTCATTCAAGACTTCTCCATTGAATATCTGCTGCTTCACAAATTATTTTCTTCCTTCACTGAACATTACAGTAATATAAAACTCCATCAAATTAGAGTGGGAGAGAACAGTCTCTAAATGTTGATTAGGTGTTTTACCTCTGCTGTATGAGCTCAATACCTGTTGCGTATTCAAAACCTACCGCACCCTGGCTACCTTGCTAACCACCTATCAAAACAGAGCTAAGAAAGTCTGCTTATCAGCTATTTCATTTGCTATCTGATACCTCTAGTGTTTGACAGCTCTTAAAAGAGAAGGTAAAAAGTGAATTTTACATTGTCAAAAATTTAAAATCAGGAAGGTGCCTAAGACTCGACTCTAAAGTATCAGGTATGAACATTTTCCTGTGGATTCCTGTAAGTAATGACCTTTAGGAAAAACAGCCGTTTACTTTTAGCATAAAAATAGCCTTCTGGATAATGGAAAGTGTATTCTCTCAAGAAGCCTTACATAGCAGGCTAATTTACTCTAACCTTTTAATAAAAAAGCAAAGGAGAAGTACTGATGTCTGATACTAATTTTAAATCTACTCTACAATACTGGAAATAACTCAGGTTAGTGAGGACAGACTATGACCTTCAGTAAGTTGCTACCTGATACCCTGGAGAAAGGCTGAACTATGTTCTTCCATGCTTGGGAGAAATGCAGGCTGCTCAGCTTATTTTTGCAGCCGCTCTTTTAGCGCGGTAGGTTATACCACAGGACCACCTTTCCCACAGTAGCACCAGAAAATGGCTCCTCTCAGAGCCATCTTCTGTCTTGATGTTCTTTTATTTGTATCTTCCATCAAATCTCTTTTCCTTATGCAATAATTGCACTTTTTTGTGAAATACCCCATTTTAACAGTCACATACTGTTTTTCCTCACAAGCTGTTGTGAAACTCTCCATAGCTGGGAGTCCCAAGCATTCCAGCAAACCCTTGACTCCGGCCGGCAGAAAGGATTACTGGGCTGAGCTGACATGATGCTCCCTGTGTTTCTGATTCTGCGATATAACTTGGCCTTTTCTGCTGTTAAAATACTGCCATTCAAAGGCTGGCTTCTTCTTTTTTTTTTTTTTTTTTGAAGTTGGATTTGCATGGAGTAATTCTCTTATGCAACAAACCCAAAATACATCTATTTCTTCACCTCCTGTGACACGCTCTCAGGCAGTGAGATCCTGTTTAGAGAGAGGTTGCTCTTGCTTTAAGCTGCTTTTTCCAGATTTCCCTTGTTTTAGAAATTAGGGAGGAAAAAATAGTGTTTTTCTTTCCCTGCCCCCCTCCCTCTCCAAAAGTGACAAAAGAAACTTTTTCTTTTCCACTGAAGGATGCAAGCTTCCCCTGGCCAGCCCACGCGAGCGGCGAGCGCTCAGCTTGGCTGTCAACAATCATTTTGATCCATCAAGGACAGGAGAACGCCTGGGAGTTTCACAGCCTGTCTCCTCTTCAACCTCTACACCCAAATCCCCCAGACATTTCTGTACGACAATGTGCTCAGCAGCCAGCGTACAACTGTGCACTGGCATTTGAACGACGCGCCCGTGCCTGCCGCCCAAGTCTCGCCCAGCAGCGAGGGCGGTGGCGGGGCTGGGCGAGCGGCAGGGGGGGGGGGGGGGGGGGGGGGGGGCGGGGAGAGCCCTGCCACAAGGCACAGCACTCATCTCTGCAGGCGTGTCCAGGGGCTGGGTTGCTTCCTGCTGCTGTACCTGTCCTTTCTCCAGGGGTTTCCACAAGGATACACCATCTATATCCACGTGCAGTGAATCAACTTCTGGCAATTCCTAGACTCTATTGCTGAGTTCAGCAGAGCAGTTGTTTTCGATGTATGTCATCAGTATAACAGCAGTAGGGCCTAACAAATCCATTCCATATAGCTTTTGTACAAACATGTAAAAGGCCTAATCCCTGCCCTGAGGACCACGCAAATTCAACAGCGTTAACTGTTTCTGTTGTGACAATGTCACTGCATGCCATCTGCTGCTGCTATAGCTGTCACTAACATGGCTGCGAAGGGAAGAGAAGAACAAAGCAGGGGAAATGGCAAATGTCCCTGCAGCCTTTTCAGCACTTACAGAAAATAAGAATACACAAGCAAGCACAGAGGAAAAGCCACCCTTCCTTTCATTCTTGAATGGGCTGCTGTAGCATCAAGTCAGCCCTGGTTCTTGTGCACAATAACACCATGCTACAGGAGTATCTGGTGCTTCTCCAAATCAAGAAGTGAGAGCCTCACAATTCACAGCTAAACCCACCGACAGCTCTAAAAGATTCCCTTCTAAGCATGAAATTAAAGCGCAATATGAAGCTCTGGGGTTGAAGGATCGGGGTCTCTATGTACCAATACATGCCTGAGAGCATCTTCCTTTCTAGGAGGCTCCCCCCACTAGGCTGGGATGCAAAGGAGGGGTACCAGAACCTGTGCTGTATTTCTTCATATTTAAGCTCCAAACAACACTGAACTCTGTCACCTGTTTTAGCTTAAGCCTCCCACTCAGCACTTTTTATTTAGGACTAGAAGATGTGTTAAGCACACAGCATAACCTGCTTGCAGGAAAGAAACAGGGTAAGACAACAACATAAATAAAAAAGAATCAAAGAAAGTGCAAGGCAGGAGACACTAAAGAATTGATGAGAAACTAGAGAAACTTGGAAGAAAATCAGGGAGGATAAAGATTACGAAAAAATATGATGAAAGGCAGTGAAATCAGACTGAATTTTTAACACCCTTGTACAATATTCCATATTAAAAAGCCCCACTTTGATAAAACTAGTTTACAGTGAAAGTCCAATAACCTCTGAAATGTGGCATTTATAGATGAAAGGGATTTATTGAGGTTCCTGCTTGCAGTCTTAAGTAATTTTTTTTTTTTTAATTTCCTCTTCAGACTTTAAAATGACTAGCGCTGGTACGCTAGCACCTCTCTTTCCTGTAGCTGTCTGCTGCAGGGTAATCCATCTCACCGCCAACCTATGTGCACTATCGCTCATCCTGAATGTCTTCTACTCACTTTTACCCATTTCGACTCTGCCAAACTGTCCCTCTCATTTCTTACAACCTCTGTCCTAGGTATCGCTCTGCCAAACGACATGCCTTGAACCTGATTATCTCCTTGTCAGTAAATCCCTAAAGCCCTTTACCATTTTAAGAAGCTTTTTGCACCCATTATGGAGGTGACAGAAGTTGAACACAGCATGTAAGAGATGCGGGTACTCCAGCACTGCTGAGAAGCAGCCAGGACACTTCTCTTTTCTACAGCGTGATGTCTCTTAAGAAAACAGCACGGTCAGGCAGATAACCTCATTTGAGACTGTCCATCTATCCCCTTCTGCTCCAGCGTATGGATCTTTCACACAGAAAATCCTATTGCGGAGTCAGGAAGATGGTAATGCTGCAGAGAAATTCATGCGCTGCCTCTACACACATGGGGCAGATCAAAAGCCCAGACAGGAGGTGCTGGCAGCCCTCAGAGATGCACTGAACACAACACTGTTGTTTAAACGATGGTAAATGGATGCTGCCTAATATATACCCGCAGAGCGGACTTGGAGAGATGGACTTTGGAGAGTACTACAGCAATTTTAATCGCTTTTTGCTACAGCTGTGACCCCTCTTCTTGTCACCTCTCCCCACAAGCTCCTGCTGGAGCTGCTGCCTCTGTAACAGAAAGCAAATGAATTTCAAAGAGGAGATCCTGGAAGAGGACAAGCTGAGACAGACGGCTATAGTCTGCAGCACAGGAGAGGTGAGAACGTCTCTTTTGCCACCTGCTTTCATGGAGGAAGTCACCTCCTGCAGACAGCTGGGGTGGGCGCACCAGCAAAAACCACCTTCAAAACGTTTGCTGGAGCTCCTATGTGCACATATAATAAGTAATTTTCAATCACTCGGTCATTTACTTAACTGTGGCAGTCCTGCTCCTGGAGAGGCTGAACCACTTTGAAACATCTATATTCTCAGATTGGAAGAAAATTATTATGACACTTTTTCTAAATAGGACACGTATATTCCTCCTCAGAGCTTCAAAAAAAAGGCTAACAGGATTTTTAATAACGTCTTTTGTTAAAGAAATAGTGAAATGAGAGAAAGTACTACAGTCAGAGTTGACTTTTTGGAAGATAAGAATGCAGGTGGAACAGAACCTGTTTTGTAATCTTGCATCCATTATCACAGAGTTAAATTCTCACAGTAATTTCTGACATGCAACAAACAGGTTGCAAGATTTGTGAAAATATACTCAGCCAACCTAGAGCTGATGTAGTTATTTTTACATCAAGTGATTTTGCTCTTTCATGCTTTTTGTGCACAGCACGTTAAAGGTGCATTGCTGCTAAATGAATTAATCCTCTTTAGAATGGAACAGCTTAATTTTGAAGACACTGTAATAAGACACATCAATTGTATATGGATCTTTGGGTGGGTTTTTTTTGTCCAAAGTGCTACAAAATTTTCACCAGCCTAGGACAAAAATAGATGTTATGCTTTTCTTGCAGGCAAGAAGCTCAGACAGTGAGGCTACGCAGTCTGCCAAGACCACAGAGCAAGTCTGGCAGAATAAGGAACCCTGCCTGCCAATGCCAGACACAATGCAGCAAATCTACAAGGCAACACCATCTACAGTGTGGTACTATATGTCGACTAATATTCTTAGTAGATCCGCATGCTATAGCTTTATGGTTTTGTCTGTAACATTTTTTTTATGCCCTAAGTGATGCTGTCATGTTGACATGAATTACTTGTTCAGCTTGTGCATGTTATTTCTAGTCCACCATTTCCAAGTTCACTATGAAGAAAGCTCATAGGAATCCAGGATTACCTCTGCCACATCATTCCATCAGGTGAAGCCCATCTGAAATTTTAAGGTTGTCCTGCAGTAACGGTATCTCCACAGTCAATGTCTGATTTGGGGCTTTGGCCTAGCAAGCCTCCTGACCTATTCTGTTGTCCCTAAATTCAGCCAAAGCAGAGTCTCAGATTGCACAACTGTTGGCAGCAGCTATCAGCTCAGTAGTTTAAAACTAAAACCTGTTTCAATTTTCTACAAAATGGGCTCCAGCTTTTCATATGGAAAGTTAAAGCCGAGATTCTTGCTTGCTATTTTCTGCCTCTTGGCCCAAAATTCTGCACAGCTTGCTGTCTGTTCAAATCTCACCCCAAACACCCTTCTGACCATGTCTCTTTGCAAGGTTTGAAGCTACATGGGCAACCACAGCATGAACATAGGGACGCACAAGCACAGGCTTAAGACAAAAGCTTACTCAAATATTTTTAAGACCCTTCATTGCCCCAGACAGTGGAATACATGCATCAGGAAGCACGTATGTCTCCAGCAAGACCACAGCAAGTTTCATTTGACTCAAAGTGAAACCAACATAAACTGTGGACTTGAACAAGACTTACTTTCCATCAAAAATGTAAAATACCAGTTTTGGAAGGCAAAAACATATAAGGATCTCAAGTGCTTAGTAATACAAGTACTATCTGCAAACCAGACACTCACACAGCAAACTAGATACCAAAACATAACGTGAAAAAAAAGTTACATGAACCCCCTTCCAGTTCTCATAATTGAGCTTTTCTGCTTACAGAGATCTTGTCTTAAATCCAAGCAACAGACGAGGTATTTTAAGTTACTGTAAATTGACCACAAATTTACTTGGTAGATTGGGAAGAGATGAGGGTTTTCATCTTGAAAATCCCACACAAGAGTCTTATGTATTATTTGTTTCTCAAATCTATGAGTTTCAGATTTGCCATAAATCAAAAGCTGTTGGTAGCAAAAGAAAATCTTGTTTAGAGAACAAAAAGTAATAAAGTATCTGTATAGGGAAAATCCTTGTAGTGCACAGCACAATCCACAGAAGACCTGCCTCAAATGTTTATTTGCAAGCTAAATAAAGGAATCTCTGTGTATTAATTCCCAACAACAGTAAACCCACATTTCTCCTCTTGTGCAGTATCTGCTTATTGGCTACTGTTAAATTTCCTATAAAATGAACTTTCACATTATGAGGTGATTGGTCTGGCATAGTTCCAGAAGAGATTTTTGTGGTTTTACACCCAACTTAATACGGTTCATATTGTGTCTGCATTTACAAAATAAGGCAACTTGATTCCACTCTGCTAGATTCAACCACTCTGCCTCTGAACATTAGGCTAGCCAAAAACATGGTTTCTTCATTTGTAAATGTATTTATAGAGCAGTGTGTTGACTGTGTTGTACATGTGACACCAGTTGTGCTTGGTAGTCTTTTCTTACCTCCACAACCCCATGATGAATAGATGTGTACTGCTTCTTCTTCAGCATCACCAAAGTAATGACAATCACTGTTGCTATGACAACACCTCCCACCATTAGTCCAATGATGGCACCTTTATTTGAACCCACATCTTCAGCAAAGAACACCTACAAAAGAAAAATAAAGGAAGGTGGCTAATAAAAAGCTCACTGAATATTTGGCTAACCTGTCCAGCTGCCACAGCAATAGAAAGCCTATTGAAGTATCAGTAATTAAACAGTGTTGCATGTCATCCTAATTATTCAAAACTGGATCGCTGTACCACAAAGCTCTCATAGTTGGAGAAGAGCAATTTGGGAAATCTGTATCGCCTGTGGTGTAGCAGTGCTGGTGCTAAGGGGAAGACTCATCTCCATGTCTCTGCTTCACACAGGCCTTAGATATTAGCTGCTTTTTTTCCTTGGGTAAGTGAGTCAAGCTAATTGCAAAATGACTGATAAGCTTGTAGAGGAGTAAACCAGGGAGCATACAGATTTCTTTATTTTTAGAATGCTAATCATAAATCTACACCTGTGTGGCTTGTTTGGACTATGATGCATTTCTTCAATAAAAGAGCAGTGAAGACCTGTAGGACAACAGTGAAACTTGCACGCAACCAGTTGGGAGAAAATTCTCACACCAAAGAGACAAGAGTCCAACAAAACCAAGCATGCTGATTTAAGTGACCACCAAGGGATGCTTCAAGATTCTGCAGGGCAAATGGAGAATGAGCTATACCTGAATGATGACAATACTCATGTGAAACCTAGATGAGGTAACAGTTGTGTGAAAAACAGAGAAGACCCACTTAAATTATATGTACTGATAAGGCAAAACTGTGGACAGCAAGCTGCTTTACTGTGCATTTAATAAGACTGGCTTTTAGCAACAGGAGCAGGCATGAAAAGTGGGTGATTGTTTTCACTGTCCTGTTTTGTATTCAAAGAATATGCTGGATTATTTTACATCTATGCATATTTTACAAAGCTTTTGTCCGCTTGTCAACAGCAAGCTTTTATTATTATTATTTTTAATCAAAATAGGCAAAAAGGATTAGAGAATAAATTACATTCACAGAATTGTAAGACTTACCTCACTCTGAAAGACTAAATACTTTGACAGGCATTTAACAAAAATGCAGAGGGAAGCAGGAAACCAGCTGAGAATTATAATGAGCTGTATAACATTTGCACTCTTTAAGAAATACAATCTTCCTCAGAGAGGTATTAAAGCATGCAGTATAAATATTTATATTGTTCCTAGTCATAAGCAAGAAATGTGTTTAAACAAAGTTAAGAATTCACTAGAAAGTACACACAATGGACAGTGTTGGCATAAGATGATGTGAAGTAATAATTTCTTCTGTCAATTTTACCTGCCCAGGACTGAAATTCTGTTACCATACTATTTTGGAGCACTGTGGAATGCCCCAGCTAATATACGTGTGCAACAGAGGAAGGCCTTAAGCACTGCGAGCCATGAAAATCAACTGAATGTAGAGTTAAAACGTGAACATTCATAAAGAAGAAAATAACTGCAATTTCAGCTCAATTCAGAAGTTTGCATGTAAAATACAATGCGCAGCTGAATTCAAAGCAATATCCTAAGGAGACTGTTTCAGTAAATCCTACCAGGACACAGAAGAAGGGAAACACAGATGAAAGTATTTCCTGCTTACTGCTTTTGAATTCAAGCTAACGGAGAAGGGCATCAGCTAGACTATGGCATGCGGTAAATAAGCAATGCCCTGTAAGGCATCAGTCCAGTACTTTCTCAGCAATACCGGACTCCTTGCTCAGTCTCAATTGAAAAGATAACCTAGAGGACAGCTTACTAATTTTTAAATAATGGTTGCACCTATCAGTAAGAAGCATAGCATAAAATGCTTTAAAAAGCTGGAAAGGTCCCATTTTAAGCATCACACAGATTACCCGAGTGCAGGGATTGCAATGCATTCCCTATCAGCCACCACGGTAAGGGTAGTTTCCAGCACCAAACTGCTCAGGATGGTATCAAACCACTTCAACATTAAGGTTGCTGCTGGGAAGTGCATGAACACATTCCTGCAAGTTCCTTCCCTTCAGTAAACTGCACGGGTTTACTCCATCAGGATGTTTAACCCATCTGAGCTAAGCACATCAGAATTTCCCAAATTAGTGCTAATGCATTTTGGATTAGCTCGTCAAACTGGGAATTCTCAGTTCTCGGCATCAAAGAGATGGCAGAATATCTTTTCACACAGTGATTGCCTAGTTCAAATGCAAATTTGAGTCCCATGTTAATTTTAATTTTCAGCACTACTTAGCTTTAAGAATATATTAAGAAAAAAAGCTTTCAAGTTTAATATCAGGATATTGAAAGTCACAGGACTGGAATCTCATCATGTAATATACCTTTACAAAAGAGGAAGCAGAAAAGGTTTATACTCAACACTGCTGTATGGGTTCTTCATTACTTATTAAGGGACTGAAAAAAAGCTTTTAGAAGATGCTTGTTCTTACTTACATTGCTTTTGGTTGTTATTTTTGTGTTCATAAGAAGCACAGTTCAAATGGGGAACAATATTTTGCTCCTACCTGCCCTTCACCTGTTAATAATTTAATATACCTTAAGGAACAAATCACACAGATACAGCCAAGTACAAATTAAAATTAAGGCCAGTGGAGAATCTCCTCTTATCCCAAGCAGGCGATCTTGCAAAGGGTTATGCTCCATGGAGTTCAGCCTCCTTCATGTACCACCACCATCTGTTTTGACAGAAAAGGAATCTATTCCTGAAACGGTGTCACTCTATTGCTGCACCATGCTGCGTGTCTCCATCAAACATTTCTTTTTTAAACTTACTTAGCGTTTTCCTTCCTCTGTATCCCTCCTCCTTAGTTATGTGACCATGACAGATGGACTGTGGGACAAGTATTGCCCATATGACCACATCCAGTCACGTGGCAGTGCAAGGGCAGGAACTGTCAGAATTTCCTCTCATGTGAGACTTAATGGCTTTCCATCGTCTCTCCTGAAATTATTCCAGGTTTACACTCATTTAAGAAAGAACCAGAAAAATCATAATCTGTTCACGTGAAAACTTTTTGTTGGCACTTTCAGCATCCACATCAGTCAGGGGAAACATGGCCATAACTGACCCACTAGTTCACGATTGAATCAGCACCTCAAAATGCACGTGTGGAAAGCACTGTTTGTTCACTCACCAGCTTTTGATGATGAACTTCATATCCTGAGTCATGCCGGAACTCTGCATCCATCTTCACTTCAGATATCTCTTCTGTTTTAACGTTAGTCAACCCAGAACCTGCATTGCACCGCAATGACAATTCATTAAAGTCATCGGCTCAGTTATGCTCTGCTTACCTCCACCATTACAAGTGCAGAAGGCAACGGTATCATTCATGCAGAGGAGGTGTGATGCAATGTGAAAGGGAACTGGGAGGAAAGTGAGGTACATCTCATGTTTCAGTTCCACTGAGGTGATACAGAATGAGCTGGTAAAATTTCTCCTCTGTTAAATGTTCCTTAATCCACTGCGGCTATGTTGGTACCAGCATCAAAGGCTTTCAGCATGAAACACTGCAAGAACAAAACTGTGAGGGACCAACAGCGGTCTCCCGAATTGGCTCACAGGATGCAGACAGATCTGCTCTGACAGCCTCTTTAGCCATGTCAAGAAAATTTGGTGTTTAGGCCAAAATATTCCTCATCCCTCAGCCCGAAGCTCGGGCTGCTGTGAGGAAAAAACATACCCATGGTGTGAGGTGGGGAACCCCAGATACTGTGTTTTCTTGCTTCCTGTGAGTCTGTATCTTTTGCACAAACATGCACAAGTAAGAGTTATTAAAACGTTCGTGAAGTTTACACAGTTCTTATTGGTTTTCATATTTCAGACTGCTCAGAATTAATATGATTCAAGTCTTGACTTCTGCCTGAGAGATGATAACTGTCCCTCTTGATTAGAAATGTACAGTAAAGCAAGTAAGCAAAGCTTGCAGCTATTTTAATTGTAGATAATTTGCAGTCCTGTTCTCCCCTTATGAGCGCGAAGGGGAGATGCTGCACTTCAACTGGAAAGAAGGTCTGGATTTCCTCCTGGAAAACAGCCTGAGGAGAATGAGCCAGACTTAACAACAGCTGAGCAGTGCATCCTATATATGTATCTATGAATGTTTTGTCCTGAAAAGCTGGCTCTGGCTTATAGAGAACATATGGGTATTCATGTAGCTGGTTATTTTCCTTCTCAGTACCAACTGACTTACATTTATATTTCTTGGAGGTACAAACACTGCAGAAGTGTGGTGTTTATGAGAAGTTATTTCCTCACCCTATCTAATGTGATAAGAACAAACTGGTTCATATTCCTTGTCTATATTTATTTTAGCATTTTATCACTCCAGCTCTTCTCTCCACGCCTTCATTCCGATTCATAGCATTTTGGGCTGACCTTAAGCTCTGATGCAGGGGAAGAACCTCTTCTAAAATGCTCAACACTACTGACTGCTCCTGTGCTCCACTGTCACTCTGGACTCTCAATAAATTCTTGAAGACTTCCATGTGCCAATGAGCTCCACAGTCTGAAGTAGCACTCAATGCAAGAACTATTGCCCTTTTATTGCCTTTGAATGTGCATTTTCTTTTTTCAGTAAATGCTGATTTATTTTTGTATTATGAGTCAGCAAGAACAGACCTTCCCAAGAACTTCTCTGGACTGTACAGACAATCCCATTCTAAGGTTCTGATCTTTCTTTTCACAGTAAACCATACAAAGGAGAGAACAAGAATCATCTTCATGCAGTAAAGTATTTATGGTTATTTTCTTGAACAGTCTGACTGCCCCATAAATTCTACTTTAGTAAGTGTCTTTTTTTTTTTAAGGAGTAAAGCACTTAAAGATCTCAAATTTCTTTACTAAGCATCTGGTTTTTGATGCCACATTACAGTACTGACACAAGTATATTATGACATTTATATACGAGAGACCACTTCTAAACGCAAGAACCGTAATGTACTTAAGGAATTGCAGTTTGAAAACAAACCATGATGTTCTGTCAATGAAATACAGGAGGAAATGGAGATGAAGGAAATAAAACCCACATGGTACCTGAAAAGAGGTTTAACTTTCTATCCTTGAAGCAGCTATGGTTAGTTTCCCAAACTAAAATAAGAATACAATTTATTCTCCTTTGTGCATCATCTCAAAATAGCCCCTACACCTGCACCAACGGGAAGTGAAGAAAATGAGAACGTGTATCCGGCTGCACAGAGGCTCGCCTCTTCAACCCCGCTGTCTTTGGTTTTAGGATTAAAAGGGGAGAGGGAAAAAAACAACAGTAGAATAGCAGTGCTTCACATAGATTAAATAGCTGGGGGGGAAAGGGCTTTCCCAGGACTTGGTTCACTGCCCACAGGTGTAGCAGCTGAAGAAGCAGCTGGCTCCCAGCTGCTCGCCACTGCCCATGGCCACACTTGCTGCCCGTTAGACACGCTGGCAAAAGCACCATGTGGAAACTCGCCCAAGGCAAGGGCCTGGGGAATTGCACAAGTCTACTGCTATAGCTGGCACATTCACTGAAGCTATAAATATTGATTAGAACATATCCACACATACATGAAATACATCTGTGAAGAATCAACTTGTCTTTTGTTGAGGGAAGTCCTGCCTCCCAAACGTCTTAGAGCTCACCAAGAAGAGTTAGGAAGCACATGGGAAACAGTGATTCGGCTTGGAGTGAATCTGGATTTCCAAAAAGCCTTTGAGAAGGTCCCTGATCAAAGCTCTGGCAGAAGCTAAGATGGCAAGGATTAATAGGGAAAGTCCTACATGACTTTCCATAACTGATTAGGAAAATAATAGGAATTCCTAAAGATAGGAAATGAAGTGTAAATACACAGCCATTTTTCACAATGGAGGAAGGTTACCAGCAGGGCCCCACAAGGATCTGTGCTGTTTGTAAAGTGATCTGGATAAGGGAGTGAATAGGGACGTGACAAGCTTTACTGAAAAAAATAAAATAAAAAAAGAGGATAGTCAAAACCAGCTGCAAAGAACTGCAGGAGGATATTACAAATTCTGAGTGCACAATACAAGGGAAATGGTATTCAATGTTGATACAATGTAATGTGATGCTCACAGGGATACACAGCCCTAACTATACATACACAACAACGGGCTCTAAATTAGCTCTGTTCTACCCAGGACAGAGACCTTGCAGTCACTGCAGATAACTCTCTGTGGGCAGGTGGCTCAGTAGCAGTCAAAAACGCAAAGAGAAAGCTAGGAGTAATTATGAAGGCATAGAGAAAACAGAAAACATCATTACACCACTATATAAATGATGCATCCTCATTTTAGATCTGGCTATCCATTCTGGTCACCCCACCTCAAACAGAGGCAGAAGAACTAGAAAAGATACAAAGCAGGGACAGACAGACGATCACTGGTATGGAATGGTTTCTGCACAAGAAGGACTAGACAAATCGGCAGTCTTCAGACTGGAAGAGGTAACCAAGGGGGAACACTACAGAGGTCTATACGACAATGAATGACAAGGAGAAAGTCTACAGGAAACGGTTATTCATTATTTCTCCTAAGAAAGTACAGGACACCAACACAGCTATGACACAGCAGATTAAAAATTAACAAAAGAAAGTGTATGTATATATAATTTGGCACAATGCAAAATTGGACTGTGGAACTCATTGGCACAAACCATGAGGATGTTCAAAATACAAATGAACAAATGCAAAGAAGAAAGGTTCATCCAGGGTTACCAAACACAATGGTGAAAATACAGTTTCCAGTCCTAGAAGTCCATCAAATGCTGGCCGCCAAAAGCTCAGAGGATGTGCCAGGAGCATAAGGCAGAGGTGAAGTCTGTAAGTATCCTGTATGCACCGCTGCTAGAGGCAGGATACTGGGCTTGGGTACTTCTGCTCTTGGGCTCTGACCACTTTCAGTGCAAGTAAGCTTTGATAGCTTAGACTGTGGGTCTTTGTTAGCTTCAGTTAAACAGAGCGAAACACCACAGGCAGGAGTTACAGCAGCATTTCAGGAGGCAGAACAGGTCAGGAGCCTTCACATCAATGAGCGATAGAGGGTGGTAAGTGCATCAGCAGTCTCAGCTGCTGGAAAAACACAGGCTCAGGCTTCCCTAAAGCCACATTTCTTTGAGGGTTCCCTTCCCTCCTCCCACTCCCATCAAACAGTAACGCTGGAGCTGTACTTCCAGCAGGCAGCAGGTTAAACAATCTTTTGCCTTGAGATCAGGCAGAAAATTTTTGCTTTGGGCCATGCGACCAAGGTCTGGTGGTCTACTTGGCCTTACTCACCAATCCACAAAAATGCCATAGGATCTGAAGACAAAGCAGGACCTGATATTAGGAAGCTAATGATGTTAGACTTACTAAATCTTGTCTTTGGCAGCTAGCACAGGAAAAAGGTCAGAAAAATCTTCTGTTGCACTAACAACCCTGATAGCAATTTTCTCCTTCCTCCTATCTCTCTTAGGAGTGAGGAAAAAGACTTTTAAAAGTACAACTAGGGTAAACTGGTGGTCTTCTGCAAATAATTGATTATACAGTTAAGAGAAGAATGACTCTGCACTGGCATCAATTAAATACCTGGTATGAGACAAAAACATATATGAGGTTACACATGCCTTTCCACCATGTTACATAGTAGAATTTAGACTTTCTGTTTAACAGATTTCTCTTTATTTCCAGTTCATTCACTTCCCTGTCCTGGTGACTACATACTTAGACCAGCATGCTAAAATCAAAGATTTATTTTTCAAAGGTAGTAACTGAAGAAGGAAAAACTGAAGAAGGAAAAACTAACTGAAGAAGAAAAAAGGGTTTTTCCAAAACTTTTATCAGAGGTGTGTGAATCAGGTAAGATGCAAACAGCTAAGGGCTGCCTAATAACACTCCACTCTTGCATTGAAGACAAGCATACGAAGAAAAGTTAACTGTATGACAGACCTTTAATTCTGACACAAAATGTTTTTTTCACTACCAAGTCTAAAATACACAACCCAAACACAAAAGCCAGTGTAAAAGAAGAATAGTGAGAGCAACAGCCTCACTGCAAATTCACAAATAATGATAATCATTAGTGCTTTGTCTTCTGCATTACATATTATCTTTAGGGAGTTGCATTCCTAATTACTTCAATTTAAAAATGCTGCAGTTCAGCTGGTAAATATATTAACTTGCAACTCCTTAGAAAAACTGACAAAACTATTTAGCCATCAAAAACATGGGCTTAAAAGCATCTAGTAAAATCCAACAAAATGAACTATC